ATAGGAGGCGCGTGTGATGTAACATTATGTTTAAAAAAAAAAAAAAAAAGGAGGGAAGGAGGGAGAGAGGCAGGAAGGAAGGAAGGAAGGAAGGAAAAAAAAAAAGACAATTTACAAAATCATATGTATCCTGTGACTCAGGCTCTGTTAAAAAAAAAAAAAAATTGTGTATTAAAAATCCTCAGGAAGGTGATATACCAAAGCAGTAATGAGTGGTCTTGACATGATTTTATCTGGAAGATTGTCTTCCATTCATCATCTTCCAACGTATCTGTAATATTCACGCATTGTCTTTCTTGAGTTTGAATTTATAATTTATATTCAGGAAGATTCACCCTTTTAGCATATAGATTTGACTTTTGACAAAGGTATACAGTCAGGTGACTGCCACTGTGATGGAGATACAGAACACTTCCATCACCCCAGAAAGCTCCCCCATGCCCTTGGTAACTGGTCCCCACCTCCGCCCGGCCGCTGGTGGCCTCCGGTCTGATTTCAAGCCCCAGGGCTTGGCTCATTCCAGAATGTCACGCAGACGGGAATCCTGCCATACGCCTCTCCTTGCCTCTACGCGGAGAGATAACTTGGTCTGCTTATTGTTCTCCTACATGTACCTCGCAGAGCTGGATTTCCTAGCTTCCCCCAGGAGGAGAATTTCATTTTCCTTTTCATCTGACTCAGCCTTTACCCCACGTAGGAATCTCCTCCACCGTCGCTCTGATCATTGTGTTCAGATTACCGGGGAATTACCAGTTATCTGTGAAATCACCCCAGCCGTGCAAAAGTACCCAGGACGGAGAAGGTCCGTGGCCAGTGCTGGCTCACACCTGCATCCGAAGAACAGCGTTCAGGGGCTCTCGGTCCCGGTCGGGCCCTGTCCCTTGCAAGGCCCCCAGGCTCCCGTCAGGGCTCTGGAAAGACGACCCTGGGAGCTCAACAGTGTGGCAGCGGTTCATTTCTCTTAATGAGCCTTTATCTTGGGACAGTGGGAGAATATACGGGAAAGTGACAAAGGCAGTAGGAGTTTACTTGTACCCCAAACCCGCCACCCTGGTGGTTGACATCTCACAGAAACATGATACCTTTGTCACAGCCAGCGAACCAGTACTGATATGCTGTTACTAAAGCCCATGCTTTAGTCACTTTCCTTCATTTTTACCCAGTGTTGTTTTTCTGTCCCAGGACTGCATCGGGGAGCCCACAGTGCGTGGAGTGGTCAGTCTCTGTGGACGCAGGCTTCTCCAGCTGGGGACACTTGCCCAGACTTCCCTGGGTTTTGATGCATCCTGGTCAGGTGTTTTGAGAAACATCCCTCAGGTGGGGTTTATCTGATGTTTTCTCACGGTTACATCGGAATTATGGGTCTGGGGGAGGAGGACCCCAGAGATAAAGTTTATCTTTCTCACAGTAGTTCCTTTTATTCGGCTTTTTGGAAGTTCCAGATGCTGCGCTAAGCCCTTGACAGATTGGAACTCCTTTAATAATTGGATCTCCTGATAATCCTATTAAATTCTCATTTTACCATTGGATAAAATGGGCTCAGAGAGGTATGGTAACTTGCATAATGTCACACAGTAAGAGGCTCAAACACAGGTCCCGTTGATTCTACAGATTTTGCTTTTAGCCAATATTGCTTCCAACAGTGGGAAAGCAGTACATCTGCTATTAAAAACCAGTATGTATTTATTTATACCCAACCTTTCCCAAAAAGCCTATGTTGCAACTTCTAATCAAGGCCACATTGAGGCAGCTGAAGCAGGGTCGTGAGAAAGGCAGACGCAGGCGGTTAGCAAGCCTCGCCTCCCGGGAGTCAGGAGGGGTCATCTCCCGGAGCGTGCTGCCAGGGGCTCGGGGCGAGCACAGGCCCGCGCAGAGCCTCGTCCCGTGCCCGTCTCGTGGCCCTGAGGAGGCCACGGGGAAGCAGAAGCCTCGAGACTTCAAGGTGTGTTTCTAGAGGAGCAAGGCCGGCCATTTGCTTGGTCTGAATAACCAAGTCCTAATGATTTTCCGGACGGGCCTTTCTTTCTTTCTTTCTGTGGTGTGGCGTGGTCCGGCCGTTCCCACTTGTGCTGGTGACCACGCTGTAGCCTGTGTCCCCTGGCCTCTGGCTGTATCCAGGGGTCAGTGGACTGGAGTTTGGAGACGGACTGGACTTTGGAGAGGGAGAGAGGCGGGTGTGAGCCATACAGAAGGGCCTTCAGCGCAGCAGGTACACGGTGCCGTTGCTTCTTAGAGGACATCTTTTAAAATTTATTAATTTTTAATTTATTAATTTTTAATTTTTTTAAATTAAATTTTTATTTTTTAAAAGAGTCCCAAAAACCATCTTCCCAAGGATGTTGTGTGTAGTGATTGTAAGTAGTACACGGATGAACAGTTTTTCATCTGGGAAGATATTCCTTCATTTATGGAGAAAATAACAATTAGCTTCCAAATGCCACGGTCTGTTTGGGCCCTTGAAACAGACCAGGTGGAAACTCTTGCTCCCCTGGGGCTGGAACACTAGCAGGGGAGACAAACAGTCCGCAGCAAACAATAAATATTTGAACGTGGGTTCAGAAAATAAATGTATAACCCATCCTCCAGACCCCTGGTTTCGCCGATATTATTGGGACAAGATGTGCTGTGAGAGCTGAGTCACCCTGACGGCAGAACGTGGAGAACATTATAGTGCCCGGGCTGCTGGCATAGGGTGAGGGGTGTGGGGGGTCCACACATCGGCCTCTGGGAAGTACCAGTGTGACCATCTCGGTCAGACACAGCGGCTGGGGGACCGGCGCCGAGGGGCGGGCCGCTGCCGCACCCTCCACTGGCCCCCGGGCCCCGGCAGGCTTGTTGTGCCACCTGGACCCCTGCAGGAGCTCCCAGGCTGTTCCTGCTTCTGCCCGTCCTCCTGAGTCTGTTCCCCCTGCAGCCCTCCACGAGGACCCCTGGCAGGGCCCACAGGTCCCTCTGGAAGTGGCTGTCCCTCTCTCCAAGACCTTTCTTCCCTGAGCCTTCCTCCCCCTGGCCTTCGGCTCCTCCCGGAACATGCTCAGCCAGTGCCCACCCCTGGGCCTTGGCACAGGCCACAGGCTCCAGGATGTACGTTCCCTCCTCCTGTCCAGGGCGCTGCAACTCCTAGCCCCGTGGGCACCCTATCTGGAATCTTGGTACAGCACTTGCCGTTTGCCTCTTTTGTTTGTTGTCTCTTTGCACCGCTGGGCTCCTGTCTGATCTACTGCTGTATCCCCAGCACCTGGCATATGGGCCTGTAATGTAATTAGTGCCTAATAAGTACATCAGATGAATGAATGAGTGAATGAACAAATTGATGGATCAATCTCTTATTTCCTGAGCCTGGCGGCTGATCGTATCAGGAAAATTTGAGAACACCTCACGCCCTCACTCCTCTCCCCCCCCCCCCCCCCACTGTATCTCTACTTTGGCAGACAGAAATGGCCATGAAACCCTCATGGAGGTCCTAAACCCTGACAGTCAAGTGGAACTTGCCCGGCCGCGGATTTCAAATCTCATCCCTCTTGCTTGTGGCTCAGCGGAGGGTCAGGTGCTCATTTCCGAGTCACGGGTTCAGTTCTGCCCTGGACAGCCCCCTTCCCAGCTGGCTGCCCGTGGGCAAGTCACAGGACATCTCAGCTTCCCCGTCTGTGCAATGGGATGGTCCTGGCCCCTGCCCCGTGGGACTGTTGTGAGCATGGAAGGAGAGAGCGCTTGCCATCTGCCTGGGGAATGCTGGGCGCCTGTCCGGGCTTAGGAGATGTTAGCTGTTACACTCTGCCATTTCGGCTGTGTTATACTCGCCTCTGATACTGCTCGAGCGTGGCTTCCTGGGGTCAGAGTGACAAGGACCCCGCCGTGAACTTGTGGCCAGTGTGCCCCCCTGGTTTCTGGTGCCTTCTCTCCAGGACAGGGCAGCTCACTCGGTAGTGAGTGGCTGTGAATTTCTCTCTCCCCACCCTTACCCCAGCATTGATCAGTGATAGCTGTTACTGTTCTTTGCACACAGATTGTTGAGCTCTTGCTATGTGCTGAGCACTGGGGAGAGAGGACAGGGACCAGGACAGACATGGGCCTGACCTCCCCGAGCTGCAGCCTGGCCAGGAGGCAGATGTCAGCAGGTGACACACAGTATCAGTCCCCAGTAATTAAATAGGGTGTGGGGGGCAGCGAGGGTCCAGGGAGGGATGTGACCCGTTGGGTTATAGGGTCTGGAGGGCCCCCTGAAGTCCCTGTGCAGCTGAGGCCTAGACGGTAGAAGAGGAAAGGCCAGGGATCGAGCCACAACCTTTCTGGGACAAGGGGCAGGCTGAGTTGCAATGCCTTTGGCAGGTAGGCCACTGGGGAAGTGTACGAAGAGAAGAAAGCAGATGGGGCTCAAGGAAGGAGCAGGACCAGATCCACTGGGCCTGGAGAGGGTGGACGGGTGTGTGGGTTTCATGCTTGGGCCACCAGGAGCCGTGGAAGGACACTGAGCAGGGAATAAGGGGATCGAGTGTGCTGACGTGGACCATGGGACTGGGTGCTGAGTGGCGAGCGCTTGTCTGTGGAGGGAGATAAGACCGGGAAGCCGGTGGGGTCTGTGACTGCTTTCTGGGCTTTCTGGGCAGGAGAAGGTGGTGGCTTGGCCACGGTCAGGGCTGAAGAGATCCAGAGCCTGCCCTGTGCTAAGCCCCACAGATGCCCAGAGGGACAATGCACGGGCTTTGCCCTCCACATGCCCCCAGTCCGGTCCTGACTCTGCACCCCCAAACACAGGCGCACTGCCACCATGACCCGTTCCCTGCAACCAGGATGCTGCCCGCCAGGAAAGACGGAATTCCTTGGGTTCCCAGAGTTGCCCAGTGTCTGTACAGTCTGCTCATTGCTGGGGTGGGGATGTTTTCTGGAACCTTCTTCTGAGGCATGGATATTGTGCCTGTCTTGTAACCAATGTGTGTCTTTTCTTTTCCTTCTCTCTCTCTCTCTCTCTCTCTCTCTCTTTTTTTTTTTTTTTGCTGCAGCCAACTGGGTACATGGAAAACTCAGTCTCCTACAGCGCTATTGAGGACGTTCAGCTGCTGTCCTGGGAGAACGCCCCGAAGTACTGTTTACAGCTCACGGTTCCTGGGGGAACGGTCTTACTGCAGGTAGGAGAAACAAACATGAACAAGCAGTTTCTCTGCCCTGCCCCCCGTGCCCTCACCCTCCTCTTTTCCCTCAGAGGAAGACCGCCAACCGCCAGGAGGCAAGGTTGTTTAGCCTAGGGTGCTTTTTCCTCTGCTGTAATAAAGGTAGAAACTGAGTCCCTCTGGGGCAAAGGAAGAGGGAACGTGCCCAGACTGAGCTCCCACTGCCGGCCTGCTGCAGCCCTGCAGCTTTCTGTCTTATGCTTTTTTTCTCTTAAGAGAAACTTGAGAAATAGGTCTTCTGATCTCCATTCTACAGATGGGGAAACTGAGGCACAAAGCCATGTTGTTAGGCCTTAAAAGGCTATAGAAAAGCAAGTTAGTATTGGATGCCACTCTTTGCTGTACTTCAAGTGGGGAGGAAGTTCTTCTCGTTGGCCTGAGTCCTGAGACTCTGATGGAAATATGAGCTTTCCCCTTGGGAAAGGGAGCATTTGGTGTGTTTCGGTCAAGGCTGTTGGTTGGAAATGAGGCAGACGTTCAAACTCTCTGAGGCAAAAAGAGAATTTGATGCAGTAACTGTAGTAAGGTAACTGGGAAGTCTAAGAGAGGCCTTCAAGCATAGCTGGATCCAGGAGTCAAATGCTATTAACATTCAGTGCCTCTCTCTCTCTCCATCTCCTGGCTCTGCTTCTCTGTGTTGGCTTCATTGTCAAGGAGGGACTCTCCATGCATGGGAAAGATGGACTTCTGTCCTTTTAAAAATGTGAGAGTCCATTTTCCTTCTAGTATCTTCCTAGAAAATCTCATAGAAGATTCTGATTGGCTCTGCTGTAGTCCCATGCCTCCCAGGGAATGCCCTACCCTAGGTTCCATACCCACCCTTGACCTTAGGCAGCGTGTACTCTGATAGCCCTACCAAGACTTTGTGGCTGGGGAGAGGTGGGTCCACCAAGAATGGAATCGTGGCAGAAAAAATTGCTGTAGTGCATACACAGGACATGTTCTGTATCTTTTCAGGCAGAGCCGCCCCAGTTTCCAGCAGGGACCCCCAAGTCTGAGACTCCTCGTTAGAGAGAATGCACTCTCTCATCATTGGGAGAACAGGCCATTCTTTCAGCAACAGTTTCTTTCTCACTGTCACTCCAGGGAAATCTGCCCTGAGCCCAAAGAGACGCTTCCCTCAAACATGTTTCCAAAGTGGCCATGAGATTGCGTAACGGCGTTCGACCCAGGAGGCACGCAGTACAGCCTCCAAGGAACGCAGGCTCCGCAAGCTGATTGCAACAGCTCATTCTTTAGGAAAATCCTGGTCTTTACTGTCATCTTTGGAGGACACCAGACCATGCCTGCCCCTGTGTTTTCCTCCTGCCTCTGGCGCCCTCCACATCAGCCATCTTTCTTTCTTTCGAGGGCTCTCGTCTCTGCCCTCCTCGCCTCCAGCGGGCAGAGTTCTCGTGTCTGTCCATCTGGCCCCTGTGGGCTGGGGCCTCAGCCGCAGGGGAAGATTCCGGGGGGCACAAATAGGGTTCTGTGGAGAAGCTGAGCCGGTCTGTCCCCCGTGCTGGGGCGAAAGGCAGATAAGACCCTCGGCCCCATCCTTGAAGCTGTCTGGGACCTCTGGGGCGGGCGGAACGGCAAACGGTGGCTGCAGAGACAATAGCTAAAAGAGAGAGAGGCACATCCGGGAGGACTGGAAGCCCAGAGCAGGGAGTGACTCACTCGGCCTAGGGGTTCCAGAGGAGGCTCCCTGGGGATGGTGACGTTAGAGCTGGGCATAGAGGGGTGAGTAGGAGTGCGCCAGGATGGGGGAGACACATTGAGGGCAGAGGCAAGGCGGGTGCAAGGCATGAACGTGGGAGAGGCGGAGGCATGTTCAGGGCCCCGTGGATGTGTTCAGGGCTGTTGGGTCATAGCCAAATGGTACTGGGCTTGTTGGCTGAGTGAAGAAGCTAAGGCTATGTCCTGAGGGCAGTAGGGAGCCACTGAGGGTTCTTCAGTGGTGACGGGGAAAAGGGGGAAATGGAGGTATCCATCCAGCTGCAGGGCAGAGAGGTCTGAATGTGGGCACGTCGGAGGGAGGCAGGGGCGGGGACCTTGAAACAGCCCAGCTGGGGGAGGTGCGTCCCTGAGCCCCCATCTCCTTGGGGGTGTCGTGGTTGCTGCTTCGCCAGCGGGAGGGCCTCGTTGCTTCTGGGTCGGAGCGGGCAGCGTACCCCCAAGGAAGGCCGCACATCAGTGAGGCCTGGAGACACGTGGGTTGCCGGGCAGTGGAATATCCCTTTAACCCAGGCCGTGGCTGCGGGCCGGCTGTGATGACTCGCCTGGCCAGGGCCGCATCCGGCGGCTGCACGTCAGAGCTCCCCCTGCCGAGCCGACAGGCAGGCCTGCTCCAGCATCCCCCCCGCTCGCCTGCTGCCTGCCCCCCAGCTCCGCAGATAGACGGAGCGGGAGAGCCAGCTCAGAGCTGGGACGGGGACGCCAACGCAGCCCTCCACCCCCGTACTCGGGGAGCCCAGGTGGGTGCAGCGCCCCCCCCCCCCGCCCTCAATCTCTCCTTCCCCCACTTCATCGCCTTCTACCTTGCTTCCTTCTCATCATCACCCCCCTCCCCCCTCCTCCCGTGACTCATGGGTGGCGCGGCTGTCTCGGGAGGGGAATGGTTTCCGAGTCATCTTGGAGGTAGGCCTTGGGCCGGGAGGAGGCTGAGGAGGTACCTGGAGCCCCAGGCTGGTGCCCTGAGGTGCCGGCCACCGTGCGTCTCACAGGCCCTTGTGACAGGCGCTGGGATGCTTTGCTTTGGATTTGTCCTGGTTCACGTGACAGGACGCAGAGCGGTGGCACGAGAGAGCAGCCCTCCCTGCTGAGGGCGGGGGAGGGACCGAGACGTCCCAGGTGTGCCCGGGGGACGAGGCTGACGGGACAAGCTCTGTGCGGGCTCCTGGTCGGCAGAGGGTGAAAATGCCCCGAGTCGTGCCTTCCGACAGCAGCCCCCGGCCACACGGGGCCGTCAGCACTGTCACTGTGTCCGACGAAGACGGCGGATCCGCGGGCCTCGCCGCCAGTACTCCGTCGCCACATGGACGTCGGTTGCTCATTGGACAGCCCGGTCAGGAACGCCTCCACTGTCACAGAAAGTTCTGCCGGACAGGGCTGGGCCCCAGCACCGCTCGTTCTGAGCCCGTGCTCCACGCGAGGCTTCCCGGCCGGAGGAAGGAGCCTCACGGGCTCGAGGGTCTGGGGTCGCCCGGTGCCACTGCACATGCGCAGCTCTTCTACCTGGGAGTGGGGTCGGGTTGCGGGGGTCCCCACCCTCACCTGCCGGTCCCTCGTTCTCAGGTCTCAGAGAGCTTCTCTGGATCCATGTGAATCTGTTTCCCCTCTCCCTCTCTGTTCCCTCTCTCTCTGTCCCTCTCTCCCCTTCTCTCTCTCTCTCTCTCTCTCTCTCCCTGTCTCCCTCTCTTTCTCTCTCTCTCTCTTCTCTCTTTCTCTGTCCCTCTCTCCCCTTTTCTCTCTCCCTCTATCTCTCTGTGTCCCTCTCTCTCTGCCTCTCTCCCCCTCTTTCTCTCTCTCCCTCTCTCCCCCTTTCTCTCCTTCTCTATCCCTCTCTCTCTCCCTTCTGAATCTCTGTCTCTTGCCATGTTTCACTCTCTGCTTCTCTCGCAGTTTCCTTTTCTCTGATGTCTGTCTCTAGGCCTCTGTCCAACCCAGCCCTTCTCTCTGTGCCTCTCGACTTCACTGCCTCTATGTCTCCTCCTCCCTCTGTTCCTCCCTCTCCAACCTCCGTCCCTCTCCCAGGGACCTCCTTACAAAGCTGCTTTGTTAGAATTTGAATCGGTGCCTCAGTCGGACCCCTGGGAGCTGACCTATCCGAGTTCAGGGAAGGTTAAGAGCGGCTCTTAGACCGTGCCTTCGCCCAGCCCAGAGACACCGAGCACTCTGCCAGCAGGTCGAGTCGCCAGACAAAGACGCCAGCCTCTCAGCCTGGTGCAATTGGTGTGTTTCTGGATGCTTTGTGTTTTTCAGCGTGAGCCCCTAATGCCATGTTATTAGGATCCCCGGGTGCAGAAAGGACCTATTTATCTTCTTTCCCCCCTTAACGCCCTTTGTGCTGGTGTTTCATTGTGAGGAGGTAACTACATAAGAGCATAAATGGCACGATGAAAGCACCTGGGGGGCTCCTTGCCGGCCCACGGGGTGGGGTGGGCAGCATTCAGGACCCCCGTGGCCCTGACCACCTGGGGATCCGTGCCTCGCGGTTGGTGTCCGCGTGTCCATGGGAAGTAGACGGAGGCCCCCGCTCTTCAAACCAGGTTCCGGGCAGAACCAGAACCAGGACACTGTCCCTTCCCGATGACCCTCCGAGACTGGCTCTTCTCCCGAGAGGATTTCCAGAGGCCAGGCGACAGGGGCAGGGACAGGGTGGGCTCCCTTCTTACTGGAAGCCGGCAAGAAGGAGCTTTCCGGTCTGAAAAGCACGTGCTGTTTTTTCCCTAAGAAGTTGGGCCAGGAAGGAGAACTTGGGAACAGTCACCCACAGTGCACCCTTGGCTGTTTTTCTCACCTCTCGAGACAATACAACAATGAGAGAGAACTTGGCAACTTTCGAAGAGGAAATTAGGCAGAATTTGCCTGGAACAGGGCCCTTCCAGTGTTCGAAAGATTTATCGCTGGGAGAAGTTGGCGCTGGCTTGAGCGGGCCTGCCTGTTTCCAGGGGCTCTTTCCCATGCTTGAGTCAAGTGACCGTCAGTCTCTGAGCTATGCCCCATGTCCCGTGGGGCCAAGTCGTCCTGGCTCGGCTGGCTGCCTGCCCGGCAGTCTGGAACCCCTGTGCAGAAACTCACCATGTCCCTGGGCCACACACAGCCCAGGCTACTCTCCCTTTCACTGGAAGGCACTTAGAGATGCCTGCACTGGGATCCTGGATGTCCCCCAGCAGCCTCCATCCTCCTCTGGAACTAGACAGACCAAAGGAAGGAGCAGCTCCTCACCCACCCTCTCTGGCTCCATCAGTGAGAGA